CAAGAAACTCCCTTCCCACTGATTGTACTTCCAGTGCAGCAAGCGCGAGGAGGCTGCTCATTTCCTCCATCCTGTGTGTCCCCCCCAGTCATTTCCATTTCTTTGCATTCCTGTAGGCTCACAAAATGTCCCCCAGTTTCTATCTGCGTGGCCAAAAGCTCTCTAAGGATGTGAAAATGTGGCATGGGACAGAAGTATCTCCTCAAGTGGAGGGAAGCTTAGCCCAGAGGGCTGCAATATGAGCAGAGCCATTGCTGGGCAGGGTCTTTGAATTGGAGATGCTGGCTGCGTGTGGGATCGGTGTGGTAAATTCCTTGGCTCCATCTCATGCCCTCAGGTGCAAAGCAGCCGCTGGAGCCCAGCCGCCAGCAGCTCGGTAATCTCAGCCCTGCAGCCTTCCGGGTGCTTCCTGCCCTGAAACACACACAGCCCCCAAAAGCACAAACGTTTGGCAATTGTTAGCAGAGCACACGGTCCCTCACAGCCCAGGCAGATAGGAGCACTGGTGCTGCCTTCCACCCGTGTGCCCTTTTCCCATATTGATGTGTTTGCCCGTTGCTGTAGGAGGACAGGGAGTGTTGGCTCAGTGCTGCAGCCCCTGCCAGTGTTGCACTCTTGCTTCCAACCCAGAGGGGAGCCCCGGGAGACCTGATGTCATGTCTGAGCAGAACAATGGCGCCGAGGGGTGCGAGGTGCAGGACAGCAGCAGGACAGCAGCCAATGTCACCTTGTGGAAAAGAAGTCCCTGCAGCCCTCCCTATGTGCTCACCCCACCAAAGCCAGCAGTGGCTGCAGGGTCCACACACATCTGTGGAGCTGGAGTTGTCCCACGTGGGTTAAAATGCACACGCATGCCCCAGTGCAGCCACCAGTACAGGGCTCTGCAGCCTGAGGCCAGACACCGCTCACCACACATGTGGGTGATTTGGGTGTCACCCCCAGGCTGGGAGCAGCGGGAGTGGAGGTGGCTGACCCAAGGCTGGGTGATGCTAGGTGCCATCTGAGTCCCAGAGGGAATACCTCATACCCAAAGGCACATCTGAGCATTTCCTGAGAAATGACAGGGGGGCAAAGCTCAGCCAGGGCAGGAGAAGCCCCCAGCCCCATAGCACTGATGGTTCCTGGCCGTGCCCAAGGCAGCAGACCATGTTCCTACATCTGTCCTTTTCCCGGGTGTCAGAGCCTCCTGGAGGCCACATCTCCCCACAACTGTGTCCCTGGAACGGGGATGCCGGTCGCTCCCTCCCACGGCTTCCCCTTTTCTCAGAAAGCCTGGAAACCAAAGGTGAAAGAAGTGGGTGGGAACCCCGCACGCTGCCGTCCAGGAAGAGAAGTGAGTAAGTCAGCTGCAGTATTTAACGGTGCCTCCGCCACACGGCTCACAGTCCTGCTGCCAGAGAGACAGAGCCAGGAGCTGCCGGTGAGTGCCGGGGTCGAGTGCTGGGGGGGGCTATGCAAGAGCCAGGGCGAGGGCTGCTCCCATGCTGCTTCTCTTCCAGGAGCTAAAGCCCAGCTGTGGCTGAGGGTGAGCAGCAAGGATGCATCTTGCTGCTGTCTGGCTGATTGCTCCAACACGAGCTGCGGGGAAGGAGATGGCAGATCCACAAGTTTGAGCTTCTCCAGCCTGGCTTCAGTTCTAGCTGCAGCTTTTGGGGCAATCTGTGGAACTGGAGCCATCCCACTGACATTTAACCATGGAGGGGGGTGTTTGTGCATAACCGTTTCTGCAGACTTCCTGGGAAGACAAAGCAGGGCCATCTGGATGAATGTTCCTGTGCCAAGGGTGTGCAACACCCATGTGACGCTGCTGCCTGGCCCCGAGAACATCCTCTCTAATCAGTAGCTCCCAGACTAGATAGCTGGCACTGCCAGCACCAGGGCACTGCTTCCTTATCAGCCTGGAGATGGGACACCAAGAGGCAGAGCTCAGAGAAGAGCCTGGCACAGGCAGCACATGGGATGCACCAGTGTCTCAGCTCCCCAAAACCCCATGTAGGAACCAGCTTCTGCCAGACAAGTCCCTACTTCCTGCAGGTGCCTGTGGTGCTATGCCCCCAGTGGAGCCTCAGGGATGCTGCATTGTGGGGATGCAGCTTGCAGGGATAGCCACAGGCAAAATGAAGCAGCTGGAGCTGTTCGTGCTTCAGCCCCCACACGCTTCACGTCATGCCCAGGTCAAACTGCCTTGGTACTTTGGGAGATGCCCAGGTCCCACAGTCAGGATGCCAAAACCAGATTAGCTGGGGCTTGCCCTGCTCCATCCAGGCATGCCGGAGCACAGGATAGGTAAGAGTACACCCCTAGGCATCCTATGTGGGGCCCCACGGCCATCACCTCCACAGGGCTGCACAGAGAGGGATGGGGACATCTCTTGGGACATGACAGGGGGGACATGTCAAGGCTGACCTCCCTCCTGCTTTTCTGCCTGAAACCCTTCCCTTTCCTTTGAAAATCAGCACACAGTGGAAGCCTAGGAAAAGCTTTTCCCTCTCCTTTGCTTTTCAGTCCCACAAAGAAGTGGCTGCTCAAAGCATCTGAGAGCCAGAGGCAGCCTGAAAGACAGCGTTGCCAGGGCTCCGAGCCACCTCTCCCAACAGACACAGTGGCAGCAGAAGGCTCCCAGCCAGGACAGCGGGTTTGCACTGCCCCATTTGAACTGGGGTTCCCTGCAGGCAGACTTAAATAGATCCCCAGGCAGGCTGCTTAGCCACTGCAGAGCTTGTTCCTCATGCCAAAATTTGCTGGGCACTTCCCCACTGAAATTTCTGCCGGTGCTTCAAGGCCACGTGTCATTTCCCATCCCGAAGCCGAGCTGTCAGAGCTGGGGGCTCGACCCCAGCACGCACCCCTCCCAGCTGTGCTCCTTCCCAACCACCGTGAGCTGCTGCCGTCAGCACCGCATTGAGCCCCAGCTGAGCCAAAACATGTCTCCCGTGCATTCAGCTGCCAGCTCCTGGTTGGGCTGAAAATGAACGTCATTTAATGAGGACAGGCTCTGGCCCCTGTCTGCTGGCAGCAGCTTGGTGCTGCTCACAAAGGTCCCCACATCCTCCCCTTCACTGCCCACCTGTGGCACCAGCAGCAGCACAAGCTGCAGGCAGGTACAAAGACAAAATTCCTAAGGCGCCTGTTCCTGACATCCACATCTACAAGAAGCAGTAGTTCTCCCAGCATATTGCAGGCCTCAGGGCTGACCTGAAACTCTGCAGCAGCTCCAAATGACAGGGTGACACGTGGAAGCACTGGGAAAAAAAAAAAATAGCCAACTTCAGCAACGTTTCCAAATATAGCTGCAGCTCCCTGCGCTGCATCTGGGGCAGAGCAGTGCCAGAGCCCCCTCCTCACAGCAGCTCCCCATTGCAAAATCTGTGTCAACTCATTGCCTGTGCTGCGTCATCAGCACTGTGAGCTCTTTGCTATTTTTTCCTCCTTGCAGACGGAGACCCGGCCACATGGGGCAGTGGGAAGTCAGCGAGGACTGGCTGCTTGGCTCTGAGAACTGAATTCCATAGGCGTTAAAGCATCCGAAAATGCCCTATGGATTCAGTTCTGCAGCTGGGCAGCAAATAAGCCTCCAGCCTTCAGGAAGAGAGAGGAGCTGAGTGCTGTGTCTGCAGCAACATACCCAGAGATCCCAGCAGGGATGGAGGTGAGTTATGACCATAGTGGAAAGACCCACACTCAGAGCTACTCGAGGCAGTGGTCATTTGTTGCAACCTTCCCCAAAGGGATAAAAAGCCCTGCTACAAAATGATTCTTCCATCTGGAAGTGGAATGGAACTTAAGGAAATAAATGTTGCTGCCTCCCAATGGTTGTAAGCCTGTGCTAAAAATACTCATTGTCAACACAACGGCCTGGGTGTGCCTAGAAATCAGATTCGAGGCAGCGTAACCCAATAAAACATAGAGAAGACAAACAGACCAGGCTAAAGCCATGGGTCATGCCTGCTCCCTGGGCTGTCCCCTGCAGGAGACAGGGCATAGCAGGCTGTGGGAGCAGAGACAGGCAGTGCTGCTGCCAAGTATTCTCACAGATCAGCAGCATTATTCCATAGAAAGTTTTTCTAGACACAACTGGCTCTTTCCACCCATCCATAGTATAACTCTGGGAGGCTTTGGCCAAGTTTGGGGAACAATTTCAATTACACCATGTTACAAAACTTTCCCAGATGTTTCTGCTGACAGTGACATTTAGGATAACTGATGCAGGTCCTGACAATTCATGCAGCATCTGACCAACATCAGGAGGCAACCACCTGCTCCCCCTTCTGTCCCTTGGATGCGCTGCTCTGCACCTGCTGCAGAAGCTCACCTAACACAGCCCAGCTCCACCTGCACCAGCTCTGTGATGCTGGAGAAAACCCTCAGCACTGTATCTGACTGCTGCATCACCACATAAGGATCTGAAGTGCAAGCTTTGGGATTACTGCTTAAACTGCTGCCCTCCAGATGGTGAAGGGATAACCACCAATCATTGGCAGAGCCAACCTCTGCCCATTCAGCAAGCTCCGCTGCTCACAGTACAGCTAGGGAGCAGCAGCAGCTTGGAGTTTCTGTAGCAGCTTTTCTGGTTCAGAGCTTTCACTGCCTCATCTAGCAGCAGAGATCACCCACTTCAGAGAAACAAATGGAACAGTTGCATTAAATAAAAAGAAAAAATCCACTTGCTTTTTCTCTATAGTAATTCAAAGCCAGCAAGGGTCTCCAGATGCACTCTCAGAGGCAATTTCCACCAACAAGCTGACATGAGGCACTCCTTTCTTTCCTTCCACTGGGATGCTCATCTCCCATACAGCCTGTTGGAAGAAAACAGGGGGAAGAGAGCTACATTTCCGGGGCACCCCACTCTTGGGAGTGGGGCTCAGTTACCAATCAGCAAGGCAAGGAGACTTACACCTAAAGAGAGCAAACCACAGAGGTCAAGATCCTGAGTTCGTAGAAAGGTTCCAGAACAGGTTGAGACATGTTCACAGCTAAAAAGCAGAAAAAACTATTTACACTCTTTTTTGAATTGTTTATTTATAATCATTTAAAAGGCACAAGTTTGCAAGCAAGTCATTCTCAGATCCAGGAGAGCAGCTGTGGAGGTGCCACAGGACACAGAGCTCTGCTATCTGCAGCAAGGCAGCACCCCCAGCCAGAGCTGGGTCAGACCCAGGGGAGAGCCTCAGGCAGCCATTTCAGCCAGGACACATGGCCAGGAGGAACAAGCACCAGGTTACCAAGTGTAAGAGGATCAGGACACAGAGATCTTCTGCCAGAGTGCAGCAAAGTGCTGTGTGCAGGCATCACACCAGAAGTACAATGGTACAGCCATAAAACAGCAGTGACGATATGCAGACAATTACCCTTTACAGTTCCAGAGAACCCTCTCCCCTCTGGGACTTGCACTGCCTTCAACTTGAAGGAAATCCAGTTTTGATCCCCTCGGGTGAGTGCCAGGAAGGGATCCAGCTCCCAGCACCTTCCCCTGGACAGTGTAGGAAGAGGGCCATCTCACCAAGGGCTGCTCTCTGGGAATCCCGTCCCAGCCTGTGGCCACCCAACCAAATCAGTGGTAAGCAAGCATGTGTTCCAAAACCAGGACTGAAGAGCTGATCTGACAGACAGACAAGTGCTAGGTGGTTTCTTCACAAGACAGGCACTGTGTATCAAACAGGTGAAGCTGCCATAAGCTTGTGGAGGACACAGAGTTAAAAGCCCAGAGGAGCAGTGGCACCCATTGCTTGAGCTGCTTCCTAGCTGCCAGCTGGCTCCCTGGAGCTGTGGAGCATCTGTTTATTGTGTGACCAACTACATCAACGTCTCAGTTTCTTTTTCTTCTTCCTGTTCCGATCCTCACTGCTGTCATCTGCCTCACTGGCACTGGGGGTAAGAGCCCTCTGGATGACATTTTTCTCCACTGTGTACTCCTGCTCTCCTACCTTGGGGTCTGCTTTGACTAAGAACTCCCCTTTCCGGTAGGTGATGGAGACATTGGTCCGTGGGTAGGTGCCATAAACCCTTCGGAGATCATCCTTAACAAATTCTGGGAGGTCTTTCCTTGGTCCAAACACCTTCCCAAGCTTCCCCCACTGAAGCTCCCCTCTCATGGTGAAGCCATCTGGCCACGTGTCTCGATAATGGTCTGACCTCTGGTAGGCAGCATAGGGATTGTAGTTTGCATAGGGATTATACAGTGGGACAGTGACCACAGGGGGTAAATGCCAGGTATAGTACGGATGGAAGTAGGGGTTGGAGGCACTGTACAAGTGGTGGTACTCCACCTGACTCCCCGCATAGTCAGGATAGCTGCTTCTGTCTACCACAAAGGTCATGGGGCGGCTGTAGAAGTTGTGCATGTAGATGGGAGGGAACATCGTGGAGCTGCTTGGGTCTTCCGCTCTCCCAGGGCGCAGCGGTAGGTAGGTGTAGGGAGGAGATGGGATCATGGTTGGACAATAATCCTGTGGTACAAAGCCAGGCTGGTACATGGTAGAGGAGCTGGGGCTTTACTCGAGGAATACTTGGCCAGAGCAGTTGCTGAGTTTCAACAGCTGTGAGGACAGGAGTGGAAGAGAAGAAACATAACATTGTTACATGCTCCCAAATCAAGCTGAATAGGCAGATGCACCTAGCACTGTATGCAAACCAACAGATGAATAAAAGGATCTCCTCAGTCATGCAGGTTATCATACAAACGGGTAGGTCTGTGTCCACATCCACAGCTCCTCTGGCAAGTCCTCACTTAGAGGCTTTTCACTTTGTTCTCACTGGCTACCATTCATGTTCAAGGGTGCATTTATCCTGAGGAACTCCGGCCCACAGCTCAACTTGTCCCCACCCTGCCCTCAGAGGACCAGATCATCCTCCAGGGCATTGAGCAATGTCCTCCCATGACTCATTCTCTCCCCCAAGAGCAGGAAGGGAATGCACACATACAACACACTTAGGGTTTGTGTTTGTTTTAAACAGCTTGCTGCCAGACGGGAAGAGACAATGCACATAGCAACAAGCTTTTTTCCCCACTGCTCAGAACCTTCACTCTTAACTACAGAGCTGCCACAGGCCAGCAACTCTCACCTTAGGCAAGAGGGTAAATGAAACTTATTCCCCTGTTCAGTGCTTTCCTCCAGTCCCCCAGGAGGTTTGGCAGCCCCCAGGAAATTGCTACAAGCTGAAGCCTGCTTTTGCCTCAGGGCAGAACCAAAGCCCCACACCTGCACAGCAAAGCAGTCCTGGATCAGGCTCTGCCCTTTCATGCAGCTGCAACCCAGGAGCCAGAGCTCACCACAACTGCCAGCTCCCCAAACAGGAATACAGGAAAAGAAATCTACACTAATTTGCCATAGCCCTTTAAAGGCTCAAGCTGCTTCAAGTAATACAGTAATACCAGTATCTGCCTTGACTGAGGTTTACCTAGCACAGTAGGTGTCTGGGAGGAGCAGAGCAGCCACCATGTCCTGGGCCTCTTGCACCAAGGCAGCCTGAGCACTGCGAGATGGTGGTGGGAACACTACTTGCTCAGACAGGCAGGACAGCTGACAAAAAGAAGCAAATTGAAGAGATAACAGGGAGAACAAGATGAGGACTGAGAGCAGCCGGGAGAGCTCCAGGGCAGCAATCACATGCCCAACCACACTTGAGGACACATCCCTGGAAGTAGATCACCCTGAGCAGGGTGCTGACAGCTGACATAACCCAGAGAGTGCTCCAGCCCCAGGGGAATCTGCAAAGCTGCCTGGGCAAGTTGCAGGGGCTGTCAATAGCTCTGTCCCACAGCAGCTGGGTGCTGTCCTGTTCCTGCTCCAACCTGTCTGCAGCTTTGCACCCTCAGGGGCTGAAAATGTGGCTCATCTCACCATTGCACCTGTATTATTGATCACATTGACCCTCATGCTGCTCCAGTTTCCAGAGGCTGGCTTAGGGAAGACACAGCTGGAGAAAAGTCCTGCTGGACCCTATAGAGCTGAGTGAAGGTACAGCAAATAGAGTGCACTCAGAACCAGTGCCAGCCTGCCTGAACTTTTCCCACACTCATATGGAAGGTGAGCAAGTAAGACTTCAGGGAAGGCTAGACCATCTGTAGCCAGAAGGCACCAAAAGCCAGGTGCTGAAAACTGAAATATGAATTTAAGTAGCACACCCTGAAAGAGGGGTCCAGCCCCTGTCCATCCCTTCTCTTCCTTTTCGCCTGTTTCTACTTCCATTATTATGAAAGTCTTAAGTGTGGGAAGGAAGCACCCAACAGCATGCACCTCTCTCCTCTGCTCTTCAGGAGCTGTGGTAGGAGAAATGCAAAAGGGAACAAGGCTGACCTATCTCTTCAGGCTGCTACCTATTCCCTTCTTCCACTTTTGCGTCAAGCTCTTCAAAACCTCAGTAAAATCCTCAGGCCTGTTGCCTGGGGTTTGGAGGTCCCAAGCATGAAAGGGCAAGCTGGGCTCAGCTCTCCTGAGCCAGGAGCAGCCAGCAGCACTCACCAGCTTCCCACTAGCACAGGGGAGGCATGGAGGGGCTGGCACTGCTGTGCCCAGGACTTGCAGTCGCCTGCAGGAAGCAACAGGGAACTAACCAGTAAGAAAGGTACCGCAAGAAACAAGGTTCTTCCCCCTTCAGGCTCCTCCAGCTCTTCTGACCTTGCTAGAAGAGGCTTCAGCCCCACTTGGCTGGAGCTGAATGAGAAGGTTCCCAAGAAGGTCACAGCCAGATGAACACGACCACTCTCTGGGTTTGGAGAGAACACCCTACTTCAGATTCTTCCCGGCTTTGCCAGAGCTGACTCCAGCAACTCCTGGTGCAGCTCAAAGAGCCCAACACAACGCCACAGCTTCCAAAATACTTGGTCTGCCAAGCAAAGCTTGCTTCAGAGCCAGCTGACCAAGGCAGAGCCACAAGGAGAAATCGCAAAACATTGGCAATACAGAGTCACAGAATGCTTGGCAGCTCAAGTGCAGAGAAAACTGTTTCACTGCTCCGTTACACAGTTACTTGCTACAGGTGGTGAATCAACCACTAATAACACTGAATAGCCCTACCAGCCTGGGGCATTTCTGTGTTCGTAGCAGCAGCAGTTACCTCCTAGCACTGCAGAAGAGCGTGGCTTTGCTGGACACCTTTTGGTTACCCAAAGCTAGCTTTGAATTCAGGGAGCTGTTCAGTTTCTTGATTCTGGGATACAAGAAAACACAACTGTGCGTGCTGTAGAAACCCGAGGAACACAGTCAAACCCAAGCCAGACTGCACAGCCTCTAAGAGAGAAGTGAGCCTGACAGCAGCACTGACCAACATAGAGGTTGTGTCGCTGTACCACCACAGAAGCATCTATAGCATGTCTGCAGATTGCTTTTACCAAGGCAGATCAGGAGATTCCCTTTAGCTGCTTTTCGTCCTCTGCTGTTTCAGTACCCCAACTTTCAAACCTTTTTGGCTTTCTTCCTGCCTTGATCTCCTCTCCACCTCACACACACACACAAAAAATTCACAGATCTGTCACCACTTCTCTGAGACATCCCTCAAAGGTACAGGGATGAGCACAGTAAGAGCAATATTTTCCCCTAACCAAGAGGATGAAGAAGTCATGAGTTATTTCCAGTTAATCTCTATATTTTTGAGCAGACTCTGCAAAATCTTTGCCATCTGGCAAAGTCACAAAAGCATTGCTTGGAAAAAAAAAAAAAAGTGAAAAAACTTAAAGGAAGCTTCACTGTCTCTGGAAAAGAGACACTACCACCAAACCTACTCATTCATTTCAAATAGACAAGTGAAGTCTGCCTACATGCTCCCAGCCAACAAAGCCATGCATGTTAGCATGCACCAGGACCTGAGCAAGGTGCACATCAGTGCATACAGGTGCAGCAGGCATTTGCTTTCAGACTGAACACAGCTCCGGGCAGCAGGGGCAGAGCAATCCTATCTCCCCAGCACCCCTGGGATGGGCAGCTCTGCCCTGTCCCTACAAAAGACCCATTTTGCCCAAGTGTCAGGATTACTTTAGCATCCCAGCATGCGTGGTGTTTTCCACTCTATGGTGATCACAACAGCTTGCCCCCGCCCAGAGGAGCAGTGCACCCAGCACGCAGGCTCAGATTTGCACTTCAAAGCTCTGGTGACAGTCTCACATGCTTATCCTGATAGCTAGAAATAGCTTGTGAGAAAGGATTAAAGCAATGAGTCTTTTTTTTTTTCCCTTGTCATTTCCTTCTCCTGCCCACCAGAAAAGATCACTCTTTTTGGTCAAGGTCTCAGAAGAAAATCTCACTCCAGGATAGGCCTCTTGGGTGCTTCTTAGGCAGGGAGCAGAGGGAGAGGAAGCAGCACAGAAACCATGCAGCACAATACAACACTTGGCTCCTCCATGAGCAGGACCAGTTGGCAGGACAGGACACTTGGATATCTTCCCAGAGGGAATGCTCTCACTCAGCCAGACGTGCCTGGCAGCAACACAGGAATTCCAGTAAAGCACAACAGCTTGGTACAGAGCAGGCAAGCAGGCCCTTCTGGGTCTTAATTTTTAACTAGGAGCACAAATTCCCACGCTTTCTTCATCCTGCAAGCACTTTCGTGTTTCGCCCCTTTTCCCAAGAGGAAAAAAAACAGCATCACAGGTTTTTGCTACACTCTCCAAGACAACACTAAACCCACATGGTTCCAGCAAAGCCCTCCAAGGGGCAGTAAATACTTTCCCAAGAGGTTCCCACATCATCCCTGAGGCATCACAAAGATGTACTTTCTGGAAGAGATGAACTCTTGTAGCATCTTGAGAGGGATTTGGTGCAGCAGGAGAGGCGGGCACCCCAGCTGATGCAGCACAGCAGCTGAAACGAAGCAGGCAACTCAAGAGAAACTTGCTGCTTCAAACTTGTGCCCTGGATATCACCGTGGGTGTGCAGAAATATGCACCACACATTTCCTGGGAAGCCACAGTGCATGTAGCAGCAATCAGCCTCCAGGCAGCTGTTACACAGTGCCCCTCCACACCAATTATTGTAAGATATTTCTGGATGGAAACTTGGTGGGGCAAGAGAATACAGCCTTCACTTCTCAGAAGAGGGGTGAGGCTGTTTGACACACTCCCTTGTAGTATCTGGCAATGATGCGGGAAGGAAGAGAATTGATACTGAAAGTGGTCTGAGAACAGCCACCAGGCATAAAAGGGCTTTGCAGAGACACAGGTACTTGGAATGAAAGCCTAACATTTACCCCAGAGAGCAGTAGATCTACAGAGTGGACAAGGTTTGAAAGATTAGATGTGACATTATTACTAGAATCAGGAGAAACCCACCAATTCTGGCAGTTTTGCACATTTGTTCTGAGGACCTATTCAGGATATTTTAGTGGGATCTGGGTTCAAGGAGTGCTGCAGCCTCTGCTTATCTCATTTTCCAAGCTGGAAGGCAGCAGACACCTTCACCTTCTCTGCAGGACAGGCAGCAAGGCAGAAGATTCCTCTGAGCTCTGACAGCACCAGTGTACCACAAAGAGGGCTCCAGCTGGTGCTGGCAGCCATGGCAATAGCAGTGAAGATGTTTGTCATCCCTTGCAAAGACCTTCTGAAGAGGAAGCAGATCTGTTTCAGCTATTCAAAGCAGCATTCCCAGAAATGTCTGTGCAAAGCCCAGGCTCCAGATGAGGTCAAAGCATCAGGAAGAGTCCTCATCATTGCACAGCAAGCCTTTACTTGACTTTGATGATAAGAGCCACTCCCTTGCATACCTCTGCCCAAATAGCAGTCAGAAGGCAGCTGGCTAAGGGAGGTTTGGAACAGCCACCCCTCTTCCTCCTCCTCTTGCTGCAGCTGCTGGGTAACACAGTGTCAGAACAGCTGTACTGCCAGCAATTGAAGAAGCAAGCACATTTCAGGGTTGCATCAGCAGGGCTCCCAGAGCCAGCCCCACTCACAACCAGGGCAAGTCCTAAACACTACTGCCATTCATCCCTCCACATAGATTCTGGGGAGCTTTCCCAATGCTGGTCACACACACACACCCCAATCCGCTTCTCTTCCTGCTGCTGCACAGCTCCTTTCCCCATGGCTTGGTTTCTGGGTGACTAAAAGTCCCACCAGCAGCTTCACTTTCCCTGTAGGCACCTTTGGCATCAGAGCCATCTTCCTCAGCTGAGTTCAGGTCTCTGTTCCATATCTCAGGAACCCAGTCTGCCTTCCTGGAAGCCACCAACTTCTTACCCAAACCCTCTCTCAGAGACATCCCTGTTTTTAAAAGCTGCTTTCAAGCACTTTTTCTTTAATCTGCACTTCATTGCATTCATGGTCCTAAGGGTCCCTTCCATGTTGAAGAGCAGCTGGCACACAATAAAGTTCATTTGCTGCCCATCTCCTTCATCCACACATCTCTTCAGATAGAAGGTCTCAACATCACTTAGTTCAAGCTTCCAAGCTGAGAGATCCTGGATGAGCCCCTTGCTGTCCCTGCTAGAGCTAGATCTCCTCATTTAGATTACAGTTCCAATAAACTGATCCAAGAGACTTTAATTTTTACGGATTGCTCACTCCAGTAAGTCAGTTGAAGAATCAGTAACGTCATCAACATACTAGTAACTCTTTGTTATTTGTATCATTCTGTGCACAACTAAAGACTTCATCAGAAGCTTTAACAAACCACACACTACAGACACTGAATTACAGGTGCATCTTCCTTCCCTCCCACCATCACTCCTTCGCTTTGCCCTCCCACACCAAATCATGCTGACTGGGGCCTGAGTCCAGTAGGCTGTCCAAGGAGCTGGGCTATTCCAGCATCCCAGCAAGTTTGGGTCCTCAGGCTCTTCCACCATTCATAGGTGTCTGCACTCCTACATTTAGCCAATCCTACATTCCTTAGTTCTTTCATCTAATTTAAGATCTAATTTCTCTTCTCTCAGTACTCACATTTTTGCCCTGCTCATGCCTCCGCTCCTCCAGCAGATCTCCTCCCAAACAATAAATCCACCCCTAATCACTCCTTCCCCATTGGTCTCAGTTTTGCTACATCCATAACCAAACCTACTCTTCCTGATACCGTTACCTAGGCAATCTCAGCCTTATATGGCATTACTGATATGGTCTGGTAGGCCTTTCAAGGTTCTGCCCTCCAAGCATTTCTTCAGACTCCCCTGTAATCCTGTAATTATCCAACCACAGCTGTTGACTTTACACACACCAAAACAAATTCTCCAGCTTCATCCTTGGCCCCCTTTCCTAGCTCCAGTTACTTACAGGAACCTCTTTATTGTACATAGACAGTTTGCATAGCAAAGTAATGTGCTTTAAACACTTTTTTTTTTTTTTTTTTTTTAAACTTTTGCACCATCCTGCTCTCTCAGCTGCTTGATTACAAGACTTTACCCTACAAGTCTTCTTGGGAGAGCCTGCTGGCTTGCTGCAAAGGCCTGAGTCTGTTTCTCCAGAGTGACTTCATGCTTGCAGTAGGTCTCCTCTGCTGCTGCACACTAGCAACCAACACGACAGCAAGCCACTTGCACTTCAGCTTTGTGTGTATTGACTACACTTGGCATTGCATTCCCTGCAGCCTACATAGGAGTTGCATTGTTGAGACAGAAGGAAAGAAGAACTCACTGTAGTGGACTCTCCATAGTATCAGTGCCCAGACAGGGAAAGAAACAGATCATTTCCAGAATTTGGAGTTGTACTACATATCATTCTTTTAGCTCATAAAACAAGCTTCTCTTACAGAAACATGTTTTCAGACACCCATGATATGTTTCCAGCTTAACTTCAAGCTTCTGAGATAAAGTTAGCTGTGGAAATACCGCTGTTATTGCACCCTTAGGGCAAGCAGCTACAGCTTCTGTAGATCTAGGATTCTACAGAATATATAAAACTTTCCTAACTTCCTGCTGTAAGCCTCTGGACAACCAGAACATAGTTGACAAGTAGCATTATTGATTTTTTCTTTTAATGGAAGAGAAAATGCAGCCCTGTTTCCAAGAATACAAACATTCAGAGAGATCTATGTCATTTTCCTTAACTGAAGGGCTTGTATCCTATCACCACAATAACTTGAATTGGCATCCTTCACAACCAGGAGGTACTCAGAATGTTACAGGCTAGAGCAGTACCATAAATCAACACCCTAAGCCAGTTGTACCACTGCATGTGGACTTGCCTCTGTTAGAGAACAGAGAATCTGCAGAGGTGAAAGGGAAACATAGCCCAAACAAAGCTCAGAACTGCTCACTTGCATACTCATAGCAGCAGTATTGCTTTGCCACTACAACATAGTTAAGTCTTCAGTATACAGGTAAGTGCAGAAATAAGATTCTGAGTGTACTCACTCCCTGAGGAAAAAAACAGCCAAGATGATGCCTTCACTTGAATCAAGAGCCAGGAAGAGCGGGATAACCTGACCTGGGGAAGACAGCTTCCCCTCTGCAGCCTTCTCTTACCAGCACATCTGTGACACACCGGGTACGGGACTCAGGCACAGCACCACACCTCGCTGATGCATGCAGCCGTAGCCAGGGCTGCAGCACCTGCCCTCCTCCCACGCTGAGTGCCCAGGTGGGGAGCAAAAGGAAGTCAGCAGGCTGCTAAAGCTAACAGGAGGCACACAGCTTTAAGGAAAGAACCTCATAGGTAGAAAACAGGGAGCCAGGGCTCAGCTCACATTTGTACCTCTGCCGTCCTGCGGGCCAATCTCGAGCACCTGTGCTGCCTTCATGGGCTGCAGCTGGGCTGAACGCCTCCACGCCCCTCCCTAATTACAAAAACTGCAATTAACTGCCCAGCTTCCACGAGTTCCTAAAAGCAACGTGGTTGGGAAGCTGTGGCAACCGTACCATACAAGGACAGCAGGAGGTACCAGGGTGCAATGGCGCCTCTGAGCGCAGCGGCTGGGGTCTCGTCGCTGTTTTGCAGCGAACGGTGCTGGATCAGAGCAAGGGCTGCAGGGAGAGGCCGAGGCAATGTGTACACCTCAGGCTCCAGAGAGAGCGCTCAGATCTGATCTGGAATCGCAGAAGACAACTGCGGACTCTTTTTTTCTTATATTCTGGACAACGCAGTGTAAAACGAGCGTTGGAAGGTGTTTCCATGCAGCTGATGACGGAAGGATGGGGAGGGGGCACACAGAGCTCGCCGTTTCCATGGCGACTGGAGGCCAGGCACGCCGCGCTCCGAGCAGACCATAGAGCAGCCAGCGTGCCCTGGCTAGAAGGGCCCTAGGGAGCCCGTCCCACTGTGGAAGCCACTTCCGGGGCGAGGCTAATGCAAATAAGGCGGCGAGGCAGTCAGTTCCTCCCCTATACCGCGAGTTGCCCTCGAACAAGATGGCGGTGGGAGGGGTGGCTTCGTTCGCCAGGGCGCAAGATGGCGTCAGGGTGGAGTCGGGAAGCTGATGGGTGCGCGTGCGCGGGTGTGCGGTTCGGTGGGGCGACGCCGGTACCGAGCGCAGGTAGGAGGCTGTGGGGTGGGGAGCGGTGCCACGGAGCCCTGGCTTGGCTTTGCCCGGCCCGGTGCGTGCCCGTGTTCCCAGCGGAGCTGGGGCTTCTCGCATCTCGTTTCTTGGCTCATGCTTTGCAGCGCGGCTGGGCCTCGCTCGGCCCCTCTGGGGGCTGCGGGGGAGATGAGCTCCTGGCCGGGGTCACCGTCCGGAAAAGGGCTCGTGTGGCACTGAGGGATGTGGTCAGCGCCCACGGTTGGTCTGGATGTTCTTAGTGGTCTTTCCAACCTTAATGATTCTGCCGTTTCCTGCTTGAACGCAGTGTCGCTGAAACTACCAGCTGGTTTGAGACGTTAATTATCTAACTATTGTCTGCAGGGTCGTTCTGTTTACATGCATGAACTCAGAAGGAGGGATGGAAGCATCTGATGGAGGCACACGATTGCCTGTAACAAGAAGGGTGTTGTCCAAACTTTGTGTGATGTTATCTGTCATTGTTGAATTGGTGAATAGTGCTGGGGAACACCTCCATCACCAGGGGGCTCATCAGAGTGGTGAGTTTCCTTGTCAGGCCCAGGAGGTGGTGAATTTGTGGGGGCTTCATTGCTTTACCCTTTGGTACCAGGCTGTTAAGAGTCTGTTGTTGATTGGTTCTACATGTCACAGTATTTTGTGTCCCATTGAGACCCTCTTGTAGCAAGTGGATTAGCTGAGGAAACGAATTATTAAAATTCCAGAACTGCAGCTGACAAACTGAGTCTTGCAGATAGATTCACCTGTAACAGGGGACCTGGGGTCAGTGCTCACCAAAAGGACTCGTCACTGACTGGCCATCCTGGCCAGGTGAAGAAGTCTATAACTGCGCTTCTTCTGGCTGAAGGTGTCACCCATGGGGCCTGGAAGGCATTCGTGTACCTGACACTATGCTGTACCAGGGCAGGGAGCAGCAACTCCTTCATCATTGTGGTTCCAGCCTGGCTTCTTTGGGAAAGAGGTTGGACCACCACCAGCAGCCCTGGCATGTCTGAATATGAGGAGTATCTAGAAATAGCCCCCCTGGAGTTGCTTATCCCATCCGAGGGTCTATTGTGTTGTGGGTGTGGAAAGACAGAGCTGGTCTTAGCTAGTAAGCTTCCCAAACTCCAGAATATGCAGTAGAGGCACTGTAGTGACTGCTGGAGCAAGGACAGGCTTATTGAGATATTTAGCGTATTCCTGTATTACTCACATAGTGGAGAATGCACTGGAAAGTCTTGCTGTGGCCAGGTCTGTAAGTGGCTACTTTGGTGTACAGGAATTGCCTGGCCCTGCTTCAAGGACTGGACTGAGCCAAGATGCCCATGCCTGGCTCTGCTGCCAACTCAGTACAAGTGGCTTCAGCTGTGGCATGTGTGGCTCCAGTGCTAGAGCTGGTCTGTTCTAAAGCCCAAGAGTTGCTGTGGGGCACAATAGCTTGTGAACCCAGCTGTGAACTGACTAGGAAGCTAGAACAGATGTAACAGCCCCAACTGCAATGTGTTTCCAGCTGCCCTTTGTCAGCACGCTCAAACAAATGCTTTCCTGGTAGATGATGTTCAAACATCCTCCTCAAAAAGGATAAGATCTGCAGACGTCACTGGCAGGAGCAATGCCAGATGTCAGATGTGGAGGTGGAAGTGTTCTGAAGTAAAGGCTGGTTGCTTTCTAATTTACGAGCTTGTTCCTTTATGGCTGTGCATTATTACTCCCTTTTGCAATTCCTTTCCCCCTTACTTCTTAAAGCCTAATTCTGAAAAGTTCTGACATACTCCATGACTAATGCTCTGTCCCAAGGAAAAAGGTTATGAAAATACCACTGTGGCAAGCTTAAATAACACAGTGCTTGGGATGTAGGAACAAAATGTGCTTTTTTTATGGCTACTATAATTTGTTTCTTTTCATCTGCATGTTTTCAGATGAGGGAGTTTAAAAAAAAAAAAAAACTTTAACAACTATCTCAACAAAGTGAAATGACTTATGCATGTCAGCTGGCTGCAGGGGTTGCACATCTGTGTGGGAGTGACCAGGGAAAAAGAAGAAAGGAAGTGGAATATAACCTTTTTTAAACAGCACTGTATGGTACAGATGAGAAAACAAGGTGTCTCTGGAAACTTGAGCAGCTGTGGTGCGTGCAGCTTGTACTTAGTGGAGTGCCGTTCAGATGGGCTGTGTGTGAAGTGCAGTGCAAGTACTGAGCCTGGCTTTGCTTTCAGACAGGATTCGAGTAGCAAAGTCAAGTCCATGTTAGTGTGCAGGTAATGGCTGTGCCATCAGAGCTGGCTGTGCTGGATCTGACATACAGCTCACTGTTAGTAACACTTGAGCACTTTTGGCAGGTTTGTCGCATATCCTTTAGCCCTGTCTCTTTCCCAGCAACAAAGTAGCTAATTACTTCTGTAAGTGTCAAAGTGGAAGAGAAAGATAACTTTTCAGGGTTGAGCAGTGGGGAGCTCAGGCTCAGCTCGGGGCATGCATTTCCCTGTAGTTCTGGTATGACTGCAGTGCAGATCTCTGCTGTTACTTCGTGAGTCTCCTTTTGGTTGTGCATGGGGTGTGTTGGGGCACCTCCAGCATGCACAGTTCTCAGATGAAGGTTGCTGGAGGGGATTTCCCTGACTGTTTCCTTCCATGGGTTGTGTACAGCTGTTTTCCACGAATTTGTCTAATCTTTTCAACTTGCCACCCACCCCTGCAACCTCACTTGACAGCACATCTCAGACACTTAGTACCTGCCAGTATTTCCAGGTACTCAAAACTGATTTCCTGCTTATTACTTTATCCTGGCACAGATCTGTTCCACTTTCCCTCTACCCACTCTGCTTGGGACTCTGTCCTCCTGAGCTTTTTCTCCCTGCTTGATGGATCCCAGCTGCTTAGTCTTTCCTCAGTTCACTTCAGTTGCCCTCTTTTGCTCTCCTCTCTGCAGTAGCCTTGTAGCTGGGTTAGATATGCATACAGTGCTAGAGATCTGGACGCACTGAGGTTTCACACAGTCCAAAATGATGTTATCTGCCTTGTGCTCAACCCTGTTCTTGCAGGTACCCAGTACTTGCTGGCATGATGTGCCCTTGAGCCAGTCCTCTGCAGAAAGTTTGTGGTGAGAAGCACAGGGCTTATGGGTGGGTCAGCTGCCCTAGCTCTGTTCTTTTTAACCTTTATCTTTATTCATCACAAATTCTTGATTCCTTTTCAATTCATGACCATATGGAATGCAACTTCCTTTTGAGGCTTGTCAGCATGTCTGTCTTTAATTACACCTATAACTGTTCACTGTCTGGCTGAAGTCCCTCTGGAGCAGCGTCATCCTTTTATCTGGCTGTGGGTTTTGGTGTGGAGGGATGTGGTGTGGTGCCTTAGTCCCATGAGAGCTCTGCAGTTGGATCTAATTGAGGTCTATCACTCTGGCGGGATGGATGCGCCGTTTCAATCTAGTGATGTCATTGATTGGAACAAATGCTGTGCCTGTTCCTGCTGGGCTAATTATGAGGAATTCCTTGGGCTGAGCAGAGCAGACAGACATCTTTTGTTTTTCTAATCTTGCCTAGAAGTGGTCAGACTCATAGCTTCTGGGAAATACTGAATGGAACTGGAGTTTCATCATTTTTTGTACCCAGCTGTTCTTCCCTTGATCTGCTGTTTCTGCATGGGCTTGCTGTGGCTGATGTTGCAAGCCCAGGGGGGTGACTTGGTGCGTCATTTCCTGTTCCAGACACACTGTGTTGTGAAGTGGTTCTCTGACGTGTCTGAACAGGGTGCATGGCTCTGCAGGGCTGCATTGGCAGTTGCAAGGGTCATCAGCTCCTTTATCTTGCTTCTGGCAGCATTGAGGTAGCGACCCTGTTGTCACCTGTCATGTGAACGGAGCTTTTTGGGATGGCCCAGGCTGGGAAGCTAACTGACACTGATTTAAGAGCCCTAAACTTCTCACCAGATACTAAATGCATCCATCCAAAGAGGTGTCCTGTGTTCTGCCTTAGGTCTGTCGCAGCTGGAATGTGAGGGGGGGCTCAGTCTGAAGAGCATGGACCTCTGTCATGGGAATATGTCCTGCTGTGGGGATGGGCTTCCTGGCCATGAGCTGTGGCTGGTGCTGGCTGAGCAGTCCTTCCCTCCCTTCCCCTCGTGCCTCAGCCCTTTGTGAACATACAGTGGCTTCTTCCAGGATATGGCTACTTGCTTTGTTTCTATATATATTGCTGTCTAGCTGAAGTATCTCTATTTCAGCTTCAACATTCAGGGTGTCCCAAGATTTGCTGGACAGCTGCTCCTTGACTTTGGGTAGCCCTTGTTGTATGATGGCACCATTTCTGCTGTGTGCCATCAAATTCTGATCGTGTCTCTTCGTACCACAAAGCAGCAATACTACTTGCCATAAATACCTCCTGTCTGAGTGAGTCCAGGTGCAGTCAGCTGTGACTGCCTGGGGATAGCAGCATGCATGTGTGCGATTACATCAGAGCTGTTGTCACTTTTATTTGGCTGAAAATTTACAAGGTACCTAAAAATGTCAGTCACTAGGTCTGTTTTCTGAAGGCTGCTTTGTTTGCGGCCACGTAGCTTGATTGCTCCTGTGACCTTGCCTATAAAGAGATGGAAGGAACTAATCAGCTGACAAAGAACATTAAAGTATAAAGGACAGGGCAGGGACAGCGTGCTCACAAAGAGACAGCTGCACCCCTAAGCCTGGCCTCAGCTTAATGGGACAGCTTTAGTGCAGCAGATAGCTTCCAGCCTCATAAATCCCATCCAATCCACTTTTGAACAACTCCTCAAAGCAATACTAATTCTGATCTCTGCTGGCAAAAATTTATCAATTAATTTCATTCAACTAAGTTCATTTAATAAATTGAATCTGTATTGCTTATTTCTTTTTTTTTTCTTTTACAGGAGCAACAATGGATTGGCCCCCAAAAAGATGTAACAGGTGTTGTGAGAAGACATCCCATCTGAAATGGAGGTGATCCATGGAGCTTGATGCTGACCCCATCAACATGGGGTTGCGGCTGTTGGCTTGTCTCTTCCATCTGCCCACTGCAGTGATCTATGGGTCCTGTTCGCTGTTTGTTTCCATTTTGCACAATGTATTTCTCCTTTACTACGTGGACACCTTTGTCTCTGTTTACAAGATTGATAAACTGTCCTTTTGGATAGGAGAGGTTAGTCTTTTGCATGGATTCCTACTCTTGTAAATAAGAAAGTCTGAAGCTGAGACTGGTTCTTGCTGTGTGCAGGGTGTTTGCTGTAATAGTTGCGTTCTTCTTTGGAAAGGAAACAAGGGAGTCCTCTGAGTGCTAATTTGGGCTTTGCAGTTTTTCCCGCTTATGTAAACAGAAAACAAGCTGGGATAGAAAACCTGGGGACTTCCTTCTGATGGGAACATTGGAGTGTTTTACTGGTGTGGAAGACCAGTGGGTTTGGTGCGTTAGTGGCTGTTGCCACAGATGGGTATTAAACAGCGGTGTTGGTGCAGAGAAGATGCATGAGAGGTTCCTGTGATCTATTCACTGTGCAAACTCAGCACTGCTCAATTCAGTAACAGAAGTGCATCTCTCCAGGAGCTGTCCTGTGGTTTGTTTCACTGTTCTTTTCCTTTCCTAGACGGTGTTTCTGATCTGGAACAGCCTCAATGACCCTCTGTTTGGCTGGCTGAGTGACAGGGTGTTCCTTAGTACACAGCAGTAAGTTATGTTCTAAATAAAAAAAAATGTGGTGGGAAAGGATAATTATTTCCACCTGGGATGCCTCAAAGTTGTTCTCAAATTCTTTGGATTATTTACCACTGTTGGCCATTAGCATTTCTCATGTGCTTGCTTCAAGTTTTTAATGAAAATCATGGTGTGGCTTCCTGCATCTAGTGACAGTGGTTTAAGTGTTGGCTGAAATAATGCAGCACTACCTGAATTATCAGGGAGCTCCATACTCTAGAGGAGGGGGGAAAAAAAAAAAAGATATTTACTTCATGCTTCTGGCCTTCTTACACCCATATTTTTTGTGTACTAACATATTAGCTGAGAAGTTATCTGATGTGGGTACTTGTTACATGAGCAAAAGCTGTATTGATGTCTGAGCTTCATAAACAACTTTCTTAGAGAGAAAGGATGCATGATTGTGCTTGGTTTTGTTCAAGAGTCTAAAGCTTTTTTGTCTTCTGTTACAGGCCAGGAGCAGAGATTTCCTCCCCAGAAGTAGTTCTGAAGAGACTCAGGGCACTAAGCCACAATGGCCCTCTCTTTGCCATCTCTTTTCTGGCTTTCTGGGTTGCCTGGGCTCATCCTGGTTTGCAGTTCCTTCTCTGCCTTTGCACATATGACAGCTTTCTCACCATGGTTGACCTCCATCACAACGCCTTGCTTGCAGACTTGGCTGTTTCAGCAAAAGACAGGACTAGCCTCAACTTCTACTGCTCCTTCTTCAGTGCCATAGGCTCACTCTCTGTCTTCATGTCATATGCAGTATGGAACAAGGAAGACTTTTTTTCCTTTCGCATATTCTGCATTGTGCTGGCTGCCTTCTCCATCGTTGGTTTTACCTTGTCCACACAGCTGCTCCGCCTGCGATTTGAGACTGATGGGAAGGCAAAATGGGACCAGGAATCAACCTTAAAAGAGTACGTGTCATCAATTCTCCAGCAGGTGATGAAGGCTTAACTTACGTCTTTAGAGTTATGTACTGCAGCAAACTGTGGGAAGATCCAGGGCAAGGCAGACCATTGCTAATTATCTGTGGTTCTTGTTTGTTCTACAGTTTTCAGAATCACCTCTGGCTGAGGTCACTATGGCTTCTAAGGCCCTCTGAAAACAGGACAAAACTATCTTGTGACACCACTGGCACAAACTGGAGGCAGAGCCCTACCTGCTGTGTGGTCTATGCAGTGTTTGGAACATGAAATGAGTTGATATCTAGAGCATCCATTGAGGCCTGTGAGTGGCAGTATGTCAGAAGCAGCTTACCATTAAAGTATTCCTGCTTGAGCATGAGACCACTTTTATGCCCATTTCCTGTGGAGTTGGAGAAGCAGATATCTCTTACCTTCTTGCTCACTTTGCCTGCCTGGCAGTGGCTGGGTTATACTGTTGAAACCAGCTGCATCATGACGCAGTTCAGTGCCTTTGCTTTTCTTTGGGCTGCCTCACTTGTCTCTTGTTACAAACTACTAGCACTGTGTTCTACTAACACAGCAGATCCTGATGAGATCTGCCAGGTGAGCTAACTGCAGGGATCTGGAGTAGGAGTGTAGTGGCTGATGCACAAATGCTTTTATCAACAGAAATTGTAGGATCTAATGTTATTTGGGAGATCTCTAGTGTGTTGTCCTCGCATTGTTGTGGACTCTGCTGTTTTGGTCCAAGGAGAGGGAAGGTTTGAATGGGAGCTGAGAAGGGACAGCTCTGCATCTCCACAGAGACTTTTCTATGCTTGTTGTAAAGGATTCACTGCTGTGGGCTGTTCTGTTTTTTAACTTCCTTTCATCTTTCTCTTCTCCCTGTAGGCTATACATTGAGAAACCCTCTGTTCCCCAGGAGAAGAGGATCACCCTGGCAGAGTATCTCCAGCAGCTCTCTCGGCATCGCAACTTCCTCTGGTTTGTCTGCATGAACCTAATCCAGGTAGGTGCAGCAGTGATGTGCTGGGATTCAGAGGATGAAGACTGGTTATGGTCCAGTTGGGTGATTCAAATGCATGCCAGCTTCCTGGGAAGGATGGGGAGTTTCTGATGTCTGCTTGCTTTCAGAGCCTCCTGCTCTTGCATGCTGTAATCCATCAGCTACCTCGTAGCCACTATCTCTACTTGTGACCTGAGGACAGTTCCTGAACAGAATGTCAGTGTGGTGCTCCCTCCTCTGCAGTGCAGGCTTAGTTATCAGGGGACTGGTTGAGCTCAGCACAGCTCATCTGGATGCAGAAACACCAGGCCTGGCTTGTGTTGGGAAGAGTTCAGGACTACAGTTGGCTGGCTTGGCTTTCCTGAGGCCTCATGTCAATGTTCTCGCTATATCCAGCTGGATCTACCTCCCCTCTGGCTTTTGCAACTTCTGTTTTTCATTCTCTTCATCGATTACTACCAAATGCAGTCAGCCTGCCCAGCTTTCCTGAACTTAATGTGCTGAAATCAGAGCTCCATCTCCCCAGGGGTAATCAGTTCCCCTGAGGCAAGCTCTTAATGCTGTTTTGCATCTTTGCGTTTGAGTCTTGTTGCCCTCCTGGCTGCTGCTCCCACCTGCCATGCCACTGCCTCATCCTGCAGATCCCGGTGGCCACTGTTGTTGCCTCCTTGCTGTTCCCTGTCCCAGCAGTGCTGTGTACTGCATGTGTGCTCTCTGAGCTTGCTAGTGAGGAATGCTTCAGCAGCTGGGATGTGGTATTGACCCCAGGCAGCCCTGTGGTCTCGAAGCCTACCATGCTGTAACCTCCATAGCAAAGCTCTTGCTTTGCTGAAGTACTTGGGGCCCAACCTGCATAATACTTGGGCATAAGGCTCGTCTCTTAAGATGAGAGTCTAGGGGGCTGTTAGATTTTTTTGTTCAGTCTTACTACTGTTGCGGCTTATCAGTTTGTGCACTGCTTTCACAGGTTTTTCACTGCCACTTTAACAGCAACTTCTTCCCCCTGTTCCTGGAGCACCTGCTGTCAGACCAGATTTCTGTATCAACTGGATCCTTCCTCCTTGGTGAGTGTCAGAAGGGACTGGAGGGAACAGCTGAGTGAGGGCCTGGCCTGAGTCTGGATTCTCTCTTTGTAAAATTTAGCTGAGGAGAGGTGTGCTCACAAACAGGTCTTTTGGACTGTAAGATTCACACGTGTAAACCTCATAAGCTTCCTTAGGACTTTTGAGTCTTTCCTGGGCACAATAAAACTAACGTGGAGCCTTTTTCTAGTGATGGAGAGCATGATGTGCTGGATCCTAGACTCTGTGACTCCACATAGATATTGTTTATAGTACAACATGTCTGCAGATACAGCTCAAAGATGCAGCAGGGAACACAGCTCCTAATTTAGTGCCTCTCTGTGGCATATGGAATGTGTCCAGGCTGCCTCAGGTCTGTGGCAGACATCCTATAGGGCTATTGTCACCCTGGAAGGTTTCTGTGTGAGCCAGTTCTGGTCACACTGTCCAGTCTCATTGCTGTTCCATGACAGAATTCCAGCCCTTGTATGACACTGGGCAAGTCTTCCCTCTTGCTTGAGTTCAGTGAAAAAGGCCTCCCTCTGTAGGAAGTGTATGTGCTGTGCCACAAAACCACTGAATATATCTACTACCAGCACCCCTGCTTTCTGTGTGTGTGTGCGCGTGCATGTGTGGGATGGGGGGGAGTAAGCTGCATCACCTGTCCTCCCATGTTGGCAAGCTTTGTCCTCTCTTGGTATTGGTCCTGGGGGGATAGCGGATACTAAAACTCTCTCAAGCTATTTGTGCTGCTGTCTCTATTCAGGTGTTTCCTACATTGCTCCCCATCTCAACAACCTCTACTTCCTGTCCCTCTGCCGCCGCTGGGGGGTTTATGCTGTAGTCCGAGGACTTTTCTTCCTGAAGCTGGCTCTCAGTGTTGTCATGCTCCTGGCAGGACCTGATCAGGTGTATCTGCTCTGCATCTTCATAGCAAGGTATGCACACAGCGCTTGCTTCCCCTGCTTTCTGGCAGAGGGAAGAGTAGCCAGGGTCACTGTGGCTTCCAGCTCTGGTGTCTCCCTCTAACAGCTCCCAGCTTAGGAGTAGTCAATGCTGAATCTGCTGGCTGTGCAGGCAGCAGTGAGGGAGGCAGTGGTGTTCGGACTCTGCTGTGTGAGAGGACGAAGACTTAGCAGGCTGGTGGCTGCCTGGTAGCAGCCCATGCTAGCTGCTGAGCTGAGTTCCTGTTTTCTTCTGCAGCCTGTGTTGAGTGATTGCCCTTAGGATGAGCTGCAGCTGCCTCTTAACCCCAGCCCAGTATCTAGTCCCCAGGCTTCTCTGTGGGGCAGGTCCAAGGCATCGCTGGAAGGCACACAAGGCTGTTACTGCTAGAAGCATTCCTCTCCAGTAACCAGGATTTCTGAAAGTGTTATTTTAAGAGTTAGGGAACCTTTCTAATCTCTCTTTCTCCACTTTCTCTGATCTCCCACTTACTCCTGTAACTTCTTGGTGCCTCTATTCAGTACTTTGCCTGTTGTTCTGCAGCAACCGGGTGTTCACAGAAGGGACCTGTAAGTTGCTCAACCTGGTGGTGACTGACTTGGTGGATGAGGATCTTGTACTGAACAGCAGAAAGCAGGCAGCTTCAGCGCTGCTTTTTGGGATGGTTGCTCTGGTCACCAAGCCAGGACAGACCTTCGCCCCCCTGATAGGCACCTGGCTGCTCTCCGTGTACACAGGTAAGTGCCCTTCAGAAAGCATTATAGTAGGAGAGGGCAGACCTGTGAGCTCAATGCCCTCCAGTGTTTTGGGTGGGTGCAGAGCTCTCTCACTTATGAAGCTGTGACTGGTCTCTGTATCTCCAAGCCCAGTCACTGGGAGAGAGGAGTGTTTCCAGTGTTCCATCTCAACAGACTCTTCTTCTACCCTAGGCTATGACATCTTCCAGCGTAACCCCTTGAGCAACATGGTGAGTGCCCAGCCAAAGCTGGAATCTGATAGAGTCTTGGAGCCAACTCTCCGCCAGGGCTGCTTTTACCTCCTTGTCTTTGTTCCCATCACATGTGCATTGCTGCAGCTCTTCAGTTGGTCTCAGTTCAGCTTGCATGGGAAGCGTCTGCAGATGGTGAAGGCTCAGCGCCAAGGCCGAGCACCAGAAATCAAAATGATCTAGGGGTCTTTGTGCCCCTGGGGGTGCTTCTGGTTCCAGGCTGGTGTGGGACTGCTGGCAAAATGAAGGGATTGCTGGCTGGGAAAGCCCCCATGTTTACAATTTAACTGTGATGTGCTGTGATGCTGATGTTTACTCATCCCAGGAGGTGGCCACAGGGAAAGCAGAGGAGTATTGAGCGTGTACTGGGCTGCGGATAGGTCACTTGGCTACAGCAGCGAGAGCGTTCCGGACTTGCTGGTCCTAGAAAGCAGAATTCTAGGGCAGGGTTGCAGCATGTGCTAGAGAGGTTTGCATCCCTGGTGTGATATTCTACCCTGGGCATACCTCTGACCCATAGCCCCTCAGGCAGAGCAGAAAGGGGGGAGCAACTGGAAACCTTTCCTCTAGAGCCCTGTAGTTTTTGGGAATGGAGGGAAAGGTTCTTCAGGGACCAGGTGACAAAGGAGGATTAACTTCAGGAGAAGAGGTGAGATGGGAAGACCCTGAAGGCTTTTCTCAGTAGCTGGTAAGACCTCTCTCACATTCAATGCCATGGTTCTTGGACCAAATCTGCTCTTAGGCTTGTTTCTGGGACAATACCTTGCAAGGAATATACAGGCTCCCTCCTATGTGGCCTTGCACTGGGTGGTGCTGGGCTCAGAACCTGGATGTCTTATGGCATCTTGTTGCTTCCCTAGCCCCTTGCAGTCAGCACTGTTACAGCAGTGCTTCCCATGTTAGCTGGTGGGTTCAGATCAGGGAAAGGAGCCTGTAACACAGCAGACAAAATGCTTCCCTCCCAAGGCTGACATTGCTGCTTGTGTGAAGCAGCCCAGTGCCTTCCCTTTTTGCAGGTGGAGAGCACAGCCTGGAGACAGCAGGTCATGCTTTTGTGCCTTCTATTCCATTGAGAAGCCTGTTTGACATAACATGGGGCAGTCACAGGGTTGAGATTTTACTTCTGGGGGGGAGAGACATTTTCAGTGCTTCAAAAAGCCATGGCGATGAATTTTCCTGATTGCTGAGTGATGGAGCCAAGGAGAGTGGGATGTTTGGACTCTTGCTCTGTCTGGGAGCAGATAGGGGAGATGGTTACCCAAAGATCTCAAAATGAGGGAGTGTCTCTTCAGTCTTGGGGTTGCTGTGGGCAGGCAGAAGTGATGTGCTGAAGAAGGATGGGTAAGCGCTCTGCCCTGTGCTTCCTGCAGGAGGTGGAGATTCACTCACATTTCTGCTGTTATCCATTCTGTCACCTCCCAGGCCTTTTGCGCCAGGTTCCCTCTGCAGATGCAGCCCACAGATCTGCTATCTTGCCTCAGGACATGGCTGCCTCCTGTCTTGGACCAAGACATTTCTCTTGTGAGGCTCCTGTTGGTCTTACTGGTTCAATCATAAGTTATTTGTGTAGATTTTAACAAACTTTGTGAATGATTCATTTCATAAATTAAACATGATTTTTTTTCTGTATTGCTGTGGTCTCATTTGAATTGGCAGCCACCCCCTCTGGCCTGGTGTGGGCTCACCTAACCACACAAGGCCCCAGGTGCAGTGTCCCTTGCTGGGGTGGAAAGGGAGCAGGAGCCATGGAGTTGTTTTGGGGTACTGCTTGACCCATTTGCAGCTGGTAGACACTCAAGAATGTGCATTTTCATGTGGAAATTAGCCAGCAAGTTCTGTACAGGCAAGAGAAGTACACACTGTTACCTCCTTAAAAATGCAAAGGGGGGAAGATGAGGCCAGAAGGCTTGAGGTTTGTATATGAATGACTTTATTTAAGTATGCTGGGCACCACCAGGCAACATGGTTTGGACAGTGTGCGAGGGAACAGTCAGGCAGATCAAATGAATGCTAGATTGGAGACGGCACCTTTCTGTCCGGTCACTGCAGTTTACAGAATGGAGCACTGCTGCTTCTGCAAGGCCAGCAGAGGAGCTGGGGAAGGGGAAGAAGAGATCACTGGCACTGCCTGAGGCATGTGATAGGTGAATAGAGAGGATTTTTTTTCTCTCTGCATGCTGCAGCTAATCAGCAAGACTGCCACGATCTTCTGTTGGAACAAGGCTGAGCAGTGACAGCTCTTCTCTACCTGACTTGTTCTTACTTAAATACAATCTGTTCTGACAGGAGTAGGAGAGCGAGCAGTGTGTCCTCAGCTGGGAACAGACCACCAAATCTGCCTACCTCCCTCCAACTTCTCTGAGCCCAGCAGTGAGCCCTGAGAACGTGCTTCCAGCTGGAGCAGCACACTACCTGCTTACATTCATGTCTGCTGGGGCAGTGCACCAGCTTCTACCAGGCTTCTGTAGCAGGGCTGCTGCAGCCTTCCAGCTCTTTCCCTGTCTTGGCTCTGGAGAGTGACTGCAGGGTGATGTGTGGAAATGAAGAGAAAGGAGGGGAACACAGAGGAACTGCCACCAAACAACTCCAGGCCCACTGCTAATGCCAGGTACTGCAGAAAATCAGTGGTGAAGCAAGTGAGCACCAAGTAATGCATAAAAACACTCATGACTAACAGTGCCGCAACCCAACACAAGCTGCTCTGGAGGCCTTCCAATCTCTGTAGAAGCAGCAGCTACAGAAGAGCAGCCAGTAGATGAGCAGAAGGGTATAAGCAGCTCAATGGGACAGCAGAACACAGCCACTGCAACAGCTTGCTGCTCACAACCCTGCTGCTCACATCAGTGCACACATACTAATACAATTTATTGTCCTCTCATGTAGTGTATTCACAGAGAACAGCATAACTTCCTAAAAAACAGTTATTGAGTGCTATAGCAGGGCTGACTGGTTATTATGCTAAGCATGTGTGCTGTAAACAGTGTTAACATAAAACAATGGACAGCTGGATAACAGGTGTTTAAAGAAGACCCAAAGAACAAGTCCCAGGTGCTATGGTCAGTATTTGAGATATCCTCAGAGATTTCAATAAATAAAACAATTCTTACATTACAATGCACCTTTCCAACTATTATTTTGCCCCCCAAATGGATGAAGTACACAAGAGTTATGCCTGGTTGAAAATACATGATTCCGTTGCCCTGACATGGCAGAGGAGGAGGGAAGCAGTCCCAGCTCCTGCAGAGAAATAACATGAAAGCTGTAAATCTTGGCAGGTTGAGGGAGGACACTCAAGTGCCTTCACTCCCACTCTGGGGTGCTTGCTTCCAGAGGAGAAAAGGTATTTAAAAGAAGGAACAGGAGAATAACCGTCTAGCATAATGAAAGCTGATTAGAGATTGCTTTGTTCTACTCCATGCAATACAAACTAAGTCCTATCACCATCTTCTCCAGCTGTGGCACAGACCCACACATCAGTCTGAGAAGTTACACACTCACACACACACACCAAAAATAGTGGGGGCAAATGGGCTTAACTGTTAAGAATGTGCTTTCTCTTAATTTAAGAAAAAAAAAAAAAAGACATTAAAAACAACTTCAAAAGTCTACTGATGTTGGAGACACTGCTGAGGAAGAAAGTAGTTATGGGGCTTCAGCTATGTATTCCAGACAATCCAGGCATTGCAGTCAGGCTGACTAAAGCCTATGTGAGCAGTTTGCAGTGGTTAGCTCCTTTCTGACTTGCTAGGCAGATTCTAAGCTGTTCCCTTTGTTTTTCCTTGCTTGTTTTACAGTGGCAAATGTGATCGTAACACAGAAACTAAGGAACTGAAATGAAAAAGGAAGGGGCCATTCTGAAGAAAGCAGACTGATATTTTATCCTTTCCATTAAAAAAAAAAACAACAAAAATAAAAAAAAATAAGTCATTAGTACTAATACAACCCTCCTGCTGCTGTTGTCTTTGCTCAGTGACATCGGGGCATGCTGGCGCACACACACACATACAGGCAGCTCTCAGACACTCGGACTCAGAAAAGCGAGTTTAGAACTGAAGTGAATCTTCAGAGGAGACTGAGGATAGGTCCCAGGGCTAAAAGGTTTTTCGGTGGATGGCACGAGCTCCATCTTCTTCATATTCCTTTTTTGAAACCCACATTTTCTTAAAAGTATCCAGCGAGGCCAGAATAGAGCCACTGGGGAGAGACAGACATTATAGATTAAAGGAGAACATTGGGGACACCGTCACTACATCTCTGCTGTTTCTGCTCTTCCACACTTAAGAAAGGTGCCAAGGCTCCTGGTTGCCTACAAAAGAAATGCTTCCTGGACAGTCACCTTCCCTCCTGTTAGCCTCAAATGTGCTGAGGTTTACAGAGCTTATCACGAGCCACGCTCTCACAAACAACATGCTAACACTGCTGTAAACCAGCAAGCTTTTTTCACATGAGATCTCACTGGTCTCACTTCCTAGGGTTCTGGAGCTGAGTTTAGTTCTCCTGATGAGCAACAAAGATGTACACAAGAGGGGAAATGTACCTACTGCCTCTGCCCTATGAAATGTGTTGCCAATGAGCTTGTTCTACGTTAACGTGGATGTTAGGACTCGTTAAAACGAAGAAAATAAACAGTCTCGCAGGAGTGTTAAGGATGCAAAGAGCTAAGGGTCTGACAGCATGAATGGAGGCTCAGTAACCAGACTGGGTAGCACATGATTGAGGAGTAATGCCCTCCTGACACCCATAGTAGCAGGAACAACAGTGCAAGTGTCAACAGGCTGCAATTCTCCAGCCCTCATCCCACAGGAATATCTACCACCATGCAGTACTTACCCAATCCACGTAGAATACAATCTCTCCTGAGGAGCTGATATCTAGGAGAAGAAGAGAGTCAGTCAGGACCACTTCAAACTACAGTCTGCTCCTCCTGGCATGCTGCCCTAAATTCCCAACAGCTAACACAGGTATTATCTCTCCCACTAAAAAGACATCCAGCAGGTCCCCCACAAAATTACCACTGTGGACCAGACCCTGGACAGAAATCATGCTGTCCGAGGAGCTACATTCTCCACATGAAACCAAACAACTGTTCATCACAATAAGGCTGTTACTGGTTTGAACCACGTGGCAGCTACACTCTTAGCATGGCTTTTTTTTTTTTTTAAGAGGGCAAAGGTCACATAACACACAGTATGTGATAAACACCCAAGAGAATGCTCCTACCCTTATTTTGACGTCCTTTGGAGCTAGTTTCTTCACTTCACTCAAGAGCCTATCACCAAAACCTGCACAAGACAAAAAAAAAAACCAGTTCGAACCCTTCAGCAAAATCCCGAGTTCCATCTACTAACACTGTGGACCTGTACAGTGAAGCAGGGTTTGAATAGGAAAACTAGGACCTATCTGGAGATGTCAGCCTGTGGTTAAGGGCTGATGGGCTCTGGCAGAGGATATCTATGTCCATAGGGACCAGATGTATGCTGTTATGACTAGGGCTCAGAAAATTAGGGAGTGGGGATCAGTCTCCTGCTTCTCACAGTAAGTACCCTGAGAACAGAGTTGGACAAGTTGGGTGTTATCTCCCCTGTTTCACATGAGATGAGAAAAAGATGCAAGTTACAGCCCACTAAAAAACAAGAGATAGGAACCTTTGAAAAGCGTGGAGCCTCCAGACAGCACAATGTTGGAGAAAAGTGTTCGCCTCAGATCCATGTCTGATTTTTGAATGGCAAAAACGAGCACCTCATGGAGTCCTTCACATTCTTCCCCTATCAGGTCTGGCCGGAACAAGAGCTCTGGGGCACGAAAGCGGGCAGAGCCGATCTGCAAGTAGAGAAGTCAGCATAAAGGGGAGAAGACATCAGTGTGGTACAGTTCACTGTCTACAGCCTCCAGATTGTGTCTTTTTCTCTGAGATAAAACTTCAGAGAAACAAAGTTTTTTGGACATTCATGCTACATCGTTAGCTCCCAAATGACCACCATATTAACCTACAGCTTCTGGCAAAGGTGCCATTTCTATTCTGCAGGTGAAAGAGATGAAGAAATTTGCTCAGCTCCATACAGCAGGTCAATGGCTGAGAAGTAAATGGATCCATCTCTGGTAGTGGAGATAAGACTTGTATTTCCTCTCCTTCAACCATTCTACAGAAGGCTCAATCTTTTAAAGAATATTCCCAAGTCACTCTTCAAACCAGTAGTTTCTATTCACCTGGGCAGGAAAAAAGCCACATACAAAACTACAGCATAATTTACAGATACCAACCCACACTCCATACCTGATCCACATGAAGATTTACTAGATCAGAATCTGCACTCAAACAGTTCTCAGACTCCATGGCCATGCTTTACTCTTACCCAAGAATTCTAGCAGAATTAGTAAGATTTCTAATAACATTCTCTTTCCCTAAAAATTCTAGTGCCCTAGCTCAGCAACCTGGGATGCGCTTCGGTCTTTAAAATTATCCTCTCTCTCTCTCCACATTGCTAAATCTCCCATCTTTTACAAACCTCAATAGTGCTTCCATCTGGCAAGTAGTACTGAGCCTTCTCAGTCTCCAGAGTCTCATCCTTCTGGGGGTTTATGGACAGATAGCAGGCACGCTGAAGAAGAAGCAGAGCCAGAAAGAGTGAGATGAGGAGGGTAAAGACAAAGACCTCTTATAAATACTTTTCTCACTACAGAGACACCAATTTCAGTACTATTTTGTGTTGAGGAAAAGACCTTTTGGGTTCACATCAGGAAAAATACTTTATCTGCTCTTTACACTACAGTTGATCACTACTTTTCTAGCTTTTGTGTTTGTCTCTCACTGTTTAAGAAGTAATCTTCCTCTGCACTGGTAGGATAACTATCTTGTGAGCACTTTCAACCTTTCATAGTGCAAAGCAAAGCAGGCATCTGAAACACCTTTAATGGCCTTAACTACATACAAAGGTGGGTTTAGGCAACTTAGCACGAGATTAGGAGCATGAACAAAGTCCATTGTTATCTTTCAGAAGAAACAATAACTAATAGCTATCAGCAAAAATTTCCTAGCATAGCCTAAACAGCTCAATTCCTATTGTTCACCACATTCTAAGTTACAGGAAAAAAAAAACAAACCTTTACTTTTCACTACTTTTACTACTCCAGCAGCCCATAATTTTTCTTACATAGG